GTGCCACAGGTACAGACCCCACGTGGGTCTGGAAAGGGGTCCTAGGCATCCCCATGGGGACATACTGGGTAGGTACCCCCAAAATGCCACTTACCTCCTTCAGATACTCCGTGTGGTGCTTGGTGGCCACAAATACAACTGTCTGGTCCTGGGGTTTCACCACGCTGCGGAGCAGGTGGAGCAGCACAGCTGGTTTGTCATCCCCACGCACGTGGAAGAATGCCAGCTGTAATGGAGGGCAGTGCTCAGCCCATGTCCCCACCCCTGTCCCCTCCCAGGGTGGCTGGTAGGGGGTGGGGGCACAAAGTCCATCTTGAGCCCCTTTGCTCATCTCACCTTAAGCTGCTCACTCAGCTTGGACTCCACATCCAGGCGGATCAGCATTGGCTCAGTGAGGCCTGTGGGATGTGGTGATATGCAAGACATGGGTCACATGTGGGATGTGTTACTGGGACCAGACCCACTGAGGGCTTGGGGACACCAGCTTGGCCCAGCATTAATCCATCTTGGTTGTGCCAATGCTGGGCTCAGTCTAGGTGTGGGACGATGCCACGTCCATGTCCCCAGGCTCCCCCAGTGCCACCTGCTCCCACTCCTCACCAGCACGGGCAAACTCAACGAGCAGCTTGGGCAGTGTGGCAGAGAAGAGGACGGTCTGGTGGCAGTCTGGGAGCCTGGCAATGATCTCCTGCAGCTGCTCAGCAAAGCCCATCTCGAAGAGCCTGCAAGGGAGGGGATGTGGGATGTGGCAGGTCTCCCTTTCCACCCTCTGGGCATCTCACCCCACTTGTGGGGACACTTCCAGCCCCAGGGACCCCTCTGTACCCCACTGACCTGTCAGCCTCGTCGAACACCACGTACTCCACGGTGTGCAACTTCAGCTTCATTTCCACTGCTACGTGCACCAGGCGCCCAGGGGTGGCAATGATTCTGTGGGGACAGAGCTGGTGATGGGACCAGGCAGGGAGGGATGGTGTCGCCATCCCATCCTAGGCACAGATCCCAGACCCAACCCAAAGAACAAAAGAAACCCTTGTCCCATGGGAAGATGCTCCAAGGGAACACCAGGACACATCATTAGGTACACTGTCTACAAACACCAGTGTTGTCCCTGGACAGTGGATGGCTCCTGTGGGCCATTTCCCCACTGAGTCCCCTCCCCAAGCCCCACTCACATGTCAGGGTTCTCATGCAGGGCAGCAAACTGGTCCTCCATTCTGTAAGAGAGGGAAGAGGCTGAGGTGGCACAGGGCAACTCAGCCCCTTGCCAGGTTTTGGGGAGACTTAGGGAAGCAGGAACCAGTGAGGACATGGGGACAGCTTACTTGTCTCCTCCCAGGATCAGGGCTGTCTTCAAGCCAGTGAACTTGCCCAGCTATGCAGAGAGAAAGGAACAAGTTGGTGGGATGTAAAACCAAACCCCTTGACCCCATGCTCCCCACCGCCCCACTGTGCCCTGTACCTCCTTGGTGAACTTGAGGGTCTTTCCCGGGTGGGTGAGAGGATGAGGGCACGTGCCCCAGCCTGGCTGGGAGCCTTCAGCCGCTCGAACATGGGGATGAGGAAGCAGGCTGTCTTCCCACTGCCCGTCCGTGCCATCGCCACCACGTCCCGGCCGCGCAGGATGGCAGGGATGGTCTGCGAGACATCATCATCACTGTCACTGTCACTGTCCCACTGCCACCCTGCTGGGGCAGGGACCCACCACCCCACACGCTCACCTTCCTCTGGATGGGGGTGGGCACCTTGTAGCCCTTCTTCATGATGCCCTTGAAGACAGGGTAGCTGAGGCCTGCAGGGACAGCAGTAGGTGAGGGGGTGCATGCAGGAGGGGACAGTCCCCATCCCAGGGACAGCTGTCCCCCAACCCACACATACCCATGGACTGGAAGCCTCCAGATTTCTTCTTCTTCTGGTTCTGGGCCCGCACCATGGCCTGAGTGTCCAGCTCGGCCTCGGCACCATCATCTCCCTCGGCAGCGGTGGGGAAGGCAGGCAGTGGGGTCGTGGGGACCTGGGTACAGCGGGGGACACGGCTGCAGTGATGGGAAGCACAACAGTGCCAGGGCACTGCAGCTCTGCACTGCTGGTGTGGGGCAGGCACAGGGACATCGGCACTGGGGACACTGGTACTGGGGACGGCAGCACACAGGAACTGGTGA